AGCCCCGTTAACCTTTGCAAGGCGCTTCCCTGCTGATAATCCCAGCGTCCCCATCTGCTGCTGACAGGCTCACTGTTCGGGGTGGGGACAGCCGTGTCTACCTTCCACCTTACGCTCTTGCTCTTGGAAACAGGGCTCTACCACCTGAGCAGCAGCTGGGGGGGGGGGCGGGGCAGCTGGAGGGCAGCAGCCGAAAGCACTCTGCTTGGGGAAGGCTCACCCCACTGGTGAGGCCTCCACAGGCCCCAGGAAGCAGGGATGGCCAGGCCAAGCCTGGGAAGAGCATCTCAAAGGCTGTTGACTCACCTCCTGGGGAACTGGCTTAGGGTTCATCTCTCCTGAGACCAGCCTAGAAGAGGCAGGAGATAATTGATTCCACAAAGTAAACAACCCTACCGGCCTGGCACGCCCGCAGGTTTGGCAGACCCAGGAGCTCTTTGCACATGCACGGTCTGGACCCCTTACGGGCTGTGTGCACACTCACAGGAGCCTGGAGGCATGCATGGGATCTGTACACACTCACAGAGGCTCTGCAGGTGTCCACGGTTTAGAAAATACCCACAGACTCTCGCTAAGTTATGGTCCAGGGTTCTTTGTCTCAGGTTCCATCCTGTCCTAATTTGTGCAATTATGCCACCCCTACACGATCATGCACCTTGGAGTTCACGTGGCCCATCCCCTCTTCCATCCTACACTTGACAAAAGTGAGACCAAGCAGGCTCAAGGGCTTTATCTAAGGCCACACAGCTGAGTTCTTTTGAGTTACAGAGTTTAGGATTTGGAGATGTCAGAGGTTTTGGGGGCCGACTTGAAGCCGGGGAACTTGCAGGAAAGAGAGGCAGGCTTGTGAGTCCTCAAGGCCTGCTCGGCCTCTTTCTGAATGTGTGTCCTTTGACAAGTTACTGAACCTCTCCGAGCTCCAGCTCCCTTTTCTTTAAAGCAGGAGTCATCAAACCTACTCCGCAAGGTTGTTGCCAGGCTTGCGAACCACACGCATTCGAAGCCTGGCACACAGCAGGCACTCAGGAGGTGGTTCTGCAACTATTTGCTAAGGTGGTAAAACAATCGACCACAATGCTATTGAGGATAGCCAGCACGGGCCAGGCTCTCTCTATGCTTGTTGCCCGGGAGGCGAGGGCAGCTGGGGGTGTCTGGGTAGGAAGCACGTGGGGTAAAGACAAGAAGAACTGGTGTGTGCTGTGACCGCTGTCACAGAGAATACAGAAGAAAAGCACTGACTGCAGATGGTGCATGAGGGTGCAGGGGAGGGCACTGAAGTTGTCCTCGAATTTGAAGGATGGATAAATCTCACCCTTCAGGAGAAAGGGAAAGGAGATTCGATTCCATTGAGAGAACCATAAGGACAAAGACCCAGGGGCCAGGGTGAGAATTGTGACCTGGTGGATGCGGCTGGACGGGCCCCAAGAGTCCACGCGGAGGGAGTCGGTGTAGACGAGGGAGGGTGGCTTTGACCCGAAGGGCCGGCCAGTCTTTGGAAATAGCCACATGCAACACTTCACAGCAGAAAAGCAAATTTAGAAAATAATGAACTTTGCTTCAGTTTACTCTTTTCTTCTCAAAGTGTTGCTTCATTATTTGCTACAAAACCTTTTGCCTTTAATAAAGGTCACTGGCAAATGAAAAGTGTTGGCACAGAGCTAGGCTCCTTGGGGTAAAAGGAAGAAATTCAAACATATCCGAGGAATGCAAGTACCTCCCCGCTTACTAACGGCTTAACGAACTACTGCTTTGGCCTTTAACCTGGCGGGCACCCCGAGCCCCCAGCTGAGATCCACCCTCATCGTGTTGTCGGTGCCCCGGACACACCGCAGTTACTGGTTGCCAAAACTGTGCCTGAGGACAGCGGGTGGGGAAGGGGGTTCTCAAAGTGTTTCACTCATTCCAGGTGATTCAACAAATATTTGCCAGGCACTGTTCCAGGTGTTCGGGGATGAGGGCTGAAATAGGACAGGGCTCCTGCACACCTGAGGCCTCATCGAATTAAACTGGCACTTTGTGGCTAATACCCGGTTCTCAGGTGAGAAACACTCAACCATCCCGACAAAGGGGGTGCAGCGGTGAGAATCTGGCATTTTCAAGTCAGACTACTTCTGGGCTCACATCCCGGTGACTGGCACTCAGGTGAGTGACTTCTTCCCTTTCAGGTCATCAAGAGTAAAGTGGGAGACACAGATTGTTGTTTTCCAGGATTAAATGGGATCAAGAAAGTGTAGGGCTCGACATCAAGGCTGATAGAGAAAAATCCCTCAGTAAATGATAATCACCGGTATCAGTGATCTTTGGGACAAACTCAAAAGCTAAGTGAAGTGAGCCAAAAAGAGGCTTTACTACGGTGAGAGGCTGGTAATAAAATTTAGGGGAAAATAGTCCAGACCATACTTCAAAACCAGTGAGAAGGAAGGTTCCTCTGGGGCCAGGATTGGGCTTTGCTCATTTCGTATCTCTGGCATCTAAGCACGTAACACACCTTGATAGTGAACTCTGAATGAATGGTTCTTAGCTCTTGGCCAGGACCCTGGAGAGAGAGAGAGGTGGGTGGCGGACAGTTCCAGGAAGACACCAGTCCATGGGTTACTTTGGCCAAGAAAGGTCGACAGAACCTGGGACATCATCAGGAACTGGGTCATTTGTGAAATTAGCAAACATAGCATGGAAACCCAGCAACACATTTCTGGAAAGAGTACAGAGAGCAGAAAGTTCAGGAGAGACCAGACTGAGGGCAAGGAAGCAGAGGAAAACCTTGGGGGACCGTGCCCCCGAGGGTCTGGAAACCTCCTTGTTCCACGGTTCACGCTTTTGACCTTAACCTTCCTCAGAGAGTCCGTGTCGCCGTGCGCCAGCAGCTTAGGTAGTTCGCTCTTGCATTCCAGGATGCTCGGGATGGTCTCTTCCATCTGACCAGGGAAGGGACAGCCAAGGTCACAATGAGAACTTCCCAATGGCCAGTCTAAGAGAGCCAGGACACTTCTTTCCCGGTTTTGTCGGGGGAGGGGGCGGGAGGGACGATTCAGGGAGGCTTGGGCGATGCTTCATCCTCATATGCTCACAGATTCAGAGAACGTTCGTTCGTTACAGCTGGAGGGAGCTTTGGTCCCGCCCTCCCCCAATCGAGAGAGAGAGAGAGAGAGAGAGAGAGAGAGAGAGAGAGAGACCCAGGGCCAGGCAGTGATTTGATCAATGAAGCTGGGACTAGAACCCACACCAGCTGGTCGGTTCACAGATCGGTGCACACAATTTGCAAATGACTCACACATATTATCTCCGAGCTCCTGACTGAGACATCCAGCTGCCTACCTGACATCTCTTTTTTGAACATCTTAAAGGTTCCCCCAACTCAGTACGTCTAAGCCTGAACACTTAATCTCCTCCTCCTCTGGTTTCTGGCGCCCTGTGTGGTAGCTCCACCCGCCCAGCTGAGCAAGCCCAAGCCCGGGAGAAACCCACACACATTCTCTTTCTCACACTCCTCGTGTCCCATTGGTTACCGAGTTCTGCTGATTTTATCTCCTAAATGCTTCTTTAATACCCCCCCCCCCGCCCGCCCACTTCCTACATCTTTATCCTGATGCAAGGTACCCCGACCTTTCACATCCCAACTAGTGCAATAGCCACCTACCTGCTCTGGGCACCTGAGCCCATTTTGGCTCATTCCTCACAATGCAGCCACGTGACCTTTGCAGAGCACAGACCTAGTCGTGTCACACACACACACACACCAGCTTGGGGAAACTTCAGTGGCTTCCCCTCACCCTCAGGATCAAGCCGGAACTTATTAGCGTGGCTCCCAAAGCCCTAGGTCACCTGCCCTCATGCCCCGTGACACACGCTCTTCCTGCCTCCACAGCAGCCACACCAGCTGTTCCCCTATAACGACGTGTGCCCTTTCCTCCCTTGGCCTGGGGAACACCTTTCCATCCTTTAGATTCCAGCCCAAACTCCATTTTCTCAGAGTGGGTCAAATCGTCCTATGTCACATCCTTGTAGCACCTGTCACAGCTCACGTCCTAACATTTGTTTGGGGAGTATCTGGCGAATGACGTTTCCTCGCTGTCCTGTGAGCTCCATGAGAGGAGAGACCATGTCTAGTCAGGCCCGAAGCGCATCGTTCAGTGCCTGGCACGTTCGAGGCACCTAAACATTTGCTCACTGGGCGAGTGAATGAAGGAATGCTCCGCTTCTCAGATTCTCTCCAAAGGTGACACGATGAAGAAAAATCACCACGCCGTGTCCACAGATGGGCTCCTGTGCCTCTTTCTGAAACAAGATGGGAGGTTAGACAGTGAGATGCACGTGGGTTCGGTTGTGTCACAAAACTTATGTCCTAATCATTTCCTTTATACGTTCCTAAAGATCACCATGTTCTGCTAAGTGGGAGGAAAAGTGGACCAAAGTGCTGTATACCCTATGACTCTACTCCCATTTTTAAGCATACTGAAGACGAATAGAAGCCAAGAGTGATATAGGAGTGACCTTCCTTCGTTTTTTCCTCTTTTTTTTTTTTTTTTGTAAACTCCCCATTACGTATTACTCGACAGAGAAATAAAAAGTATAAGAACATTTCTGAATGATTCACACACACACACTCAATGGTTTAGGAAATGGAAGGCCATGTGTTCAGATACCCAAGAATGGAAACCATATTTCCCCTCAGCCTGGGGCCTTTCTGAAAGTAGAAACCATTTCACTTCCCCTCTTTATTTATTAGCGTGGCTCCCAAAGCCCTAGGTCACCTGCCCTGCACCATCCTCTTTCCACTTCAGCCAGCACTCTTAGGTCCAAGTGACAGAAAACCAACTCAAATTAATTTAGGCAAAAAGGAAATGTAGGTGCTTCCATAGCTGGACAGTTGCAGGCATGGACGCTCCCAGAGCTCAAGGGATCTTGAGGCCTCGGCTCGCCTCCCACACCAGCAGATTCCTATGTGGTACGAGCAGAGAGTTTTCTCTCCTCCCACCACAACAAAAGTCCTGACACTGATCCCTGCACCAGTGGCTGTGGCCGGGTTGGGGTGGGGGTGAAACCTCTTACTGGCCAGGCCTGGGCCAGGTGCTAACTTCTGGCGATGGGACCTACAGGAATCGGACCACAGGTGGGTGATTCAGAACTGGAATGCTTTTTGCCAGAATAAGGGGAAAGGGGCGATGGGCAGGCAAAACAAAAGGCGACCAGCACCCACTGAGCCCCCGGCTCTGCCCACAGGATGTGCTCAGCCCACATCACTGACTGGCTGACCTCCAGCTGGAACCATCTGGGCAGGGAGGCAAGTGGAGAGTCGGGCAGCAGGACCTCACTAGGTCCCACATCAGCTGCTGAACCTCCATCTACTTCCATCTGTGCCAACAGTCTCAGCTGAACATCCAGAGGGAGGGATTCTGAGTCTGTGCACGTCCCAGAAAGTGATGAGGAGGTGGAGAATGATGTTTGCCAAGTCGCATGGAAAATTGCCCTTGAGCTTCTCCAAACACTGTATGCCCAGGAGGCCCAGCTCACTAACCGGTAGAACTGCGGCCCAGACTGGCCAAGCAGGCCACTCAGGATGGCGGGGAGGACCTGGTGCCCTGCCTCCCTCCCGGCAGGCTGGGCCCATGGGCTGGCAGGTGCTCAGTAAGCGCAGATCAAGCTCTCAGGGATAAACCTCTTACGCAACCCTCTTACGGGGAGGGTGTCAGATGAAGAGGAAACATGATTTATGGGTTTGGGACATTCCCAGCCCGACGAGAGAAAAGTAACAAGACAGGATCGAGTCTGTATTTTGGGGCATCAGGCTCGATGCACCCGTCTCTGTCAGAGAGACAGCATGCTAGCCACCTCCGGGCCAGGATTAGGTTTGCTCCACACCGGCTTTGCTTGCCTTGTCCACTCTATTATTTCTGGTCCTGTGGTTCCAGCCCATCCTGACTGCATAGCCCGGTCCCCTACCCACCCCACCCAGGAGCCCTGACACCACACCCGCCCCTGGTAAGAGAACCCTGCCCTCTCACTGGAGCCCAGCCCCTCATCTGCCTGGAAGGTACCATCAGGCAAGGTTGCTACAGGCTCTCTTGGTGGAATCCCTGCTGGAGGGAAAGGCTCTGGGGAAGCCTGAGCCCAAAATGGGGAGATTGTTTCCTCTGGGGGCCTTCTTGGAGGGTTTTCTGCAGCCTTCACCATTCCCAAATACTCATCACTGGGACTGGGAAAAGGCTGGTACAGGAGAAAGTGATGGAGAGCCGGGGGTGAGGAAGTGAGAGCAGATGGAGGCAAGAATCTGAAAAGACGGTGCCGAGCAGCCCTGAGCCAGCCGGGCAGATGTGGGCTACTGAGTCACACCCTGCTTGACCATTCCCTGGCAGCTTCCGGGAGAAACCGGGCCTGGCACTGTCTGAACCATCAGCCCACCACTGAGCCCCTGGGGCCTGAGGAGGCCAGCCGTGAGCCAGCCTCCTCCTCTTTGCCCCTCTTCCTCTGTCCCCCACTTGGCAGTACACTCCTCCCTGCCCCCTCCTGTGTCCCCCCCCTTTTCCCTCCTCCTCCTCCTCCTCCTCCTCCTCCTCCTCCTCCTCCTCCTCCTCCTCCTCCTCCTCCTCCTCCCCCCTGAGCTGGCCTCCTCTCCCACAGGTTAGGAGAGGCTGGTGCCAAGCCTGTCTGTGCAATTTATTGCCAGTGTTTGGTGTCTAAGATGGGCAGGCACTCCCGTGGGGGTCCTTCTTGATCTTTTTGCTGCCACTGAGAAAACGGATTGTCCCATTCCGGGCAAGTTCTTAATAAACATTTAATGAATGAATGAGCATCTGTTATCTGATTCGAACCCCACAGCAACCTTTTAAGGCAGCCGAGACAGTTACCATGAAGTGCCATCTACAGCTGGGGGAAACTGAGACACAGAGACATGTGCTCTACACAAGGTAGGCAGTGGCCAACTGGGGTCAGAAGCCTGTTCTCCCAGCATCCACGACTGGACTATCCCAGACCCACTGCCTGTCCCTTTCACCCTCCTGTACCCTGTCAGCCACTCCTTGGGGTTTAGAGAGCCAGACCAGGGCAGTGGGGTGGGGTAGGAGGCACAGGGATCCTTTGGGCCATTTGCACCCTGCTGGCTCGGGGCTGTGGGGACAGTCAGTGTGGGAGGCTCTCTCTGCTTGCTGTTTTGGCCTCCTCCTTGGGTCCACAGCATTCTGCAGCATTCCCTCCACATGGCTGATGGGGGGGGGGGGGATGACGGACAGTCACATCGAGCCCCACTGCAGTTAAAGTGAAACCTGGCAGGTCTTGGCAGTGACCTTTGACCCGCTGGCAGGCAGGGGCCAGATTAAAGGTTAAGTGACCTCCCTGACTTTGGGACTGTGGGGGAATCAGAAAGAAGTAGGATTCCCTGGGATTTGGAGGTGGGAGACACTAGACTACTTTCCCATCCCCACTGGGGGGTCGGCCGTAGGGTCCCCGCAGCAGGATTGGGGGAGATCTTCTGGCTCCCTAGAAGACTTGAACCTCGGGAGTTTACTTCACAGAAGACCACCTGGAGGTGCTGGGGAGCTTTCTGGTCCTCCAAAACCCATGAGGGATCCTGGGCACCAGTTCCTCTGCCATGAGGCCCTGAACCTGGTGGAGGAGGGTTAAGGCAGTTGGTTACATGCTTCTCACTGTCAACTAATTTATCTGATCTTTTCCAGAACAATTGCGTGGAAGGGAGCTGATAAAGGAGTGATGGTCCCTGACTAAAGCTACTAGCCACACGCGGTCATTTGAATTCAAATTCGTAAAATGAAATGAAATTAAAAATCCCTCAGTTGCACATTTTGAACAGCTGGAGTGCTAGGGAGCTACTGGATTTGACAGCACCGATACGAGACATTTCCATAAACGCAGAAAGTTCCATTGGTCAGGGCTGGGCAAGGGGCTGACCTCGGCTCCCCGAATAACCTCGCAGGCCCCTTTTGGAAACGGGGCCTGTCGCGGGCAGGGGTGGGATGTTGGGGGATAGGTCAGCGCGGCCGGGAGGGGTCAGGCTGTGTGCGGAGGCGCCACCTGCCCAGTCACCGTCACCCCGCTCCGGGCCCGTCCAGTCCAGGCGGGCGCCCCCTGCCGGCGGGGAGCCGCAGGGCGAGGGGGCGGGGTGGGGGTGAGGTGGGGGTGGGGGTGGGGGCCCAGCCCAGGATGCGGGCGGGGAGGCCCGGGCCGCGGAGGCCGAGCACAGCGCGGAGCCACGGGACCCCGCCGACGGCGGCCCGCGCCCCTCTTGCCCCCCGGGTGGGTCACCCGCGCCCCAGCCGTCCCCGTTAACCCGGCGGTTAATTATTAATTTCTTCTCCCGGCTGGAAGCGAAAGTTCCACGGGATTCAGATGGGGAGGGAGCCTCGGAAGCGCACCCAGCCGCTCGCCTTGCGGCGGGAAGCAGAGTTCGCGGCAGGGCGAGGTCAAGGGCGGAAGGGGGGGGATGGGGATGCGACGGGGGCGGGGGAGGGGATGCGACGGGGTGGGGGAGGGGATGCGATGGTGGTGGTGGGGGTGGAGGGAGGGGAGGCGGTGGGGGCGGGGAGGGGATGCGATGGGGTGGGGGAAGGGGAGGCGATGGGGGCTGGAGGGAGAGGAGGCGGTGGGGGCGGGGAGGGGATGTGATGGGGCGGGGGAGGGGATGCGAAGGGGGAGGGGAGAGGGGAGGCGGAGGGGGGAGGGGAGGCGAAGGGGGTGCGGGGGACTGGAATGGTAGGGCTCTTGCCCCTCCCCCGCCCCGCACGCCCGCCTCCCGCGCCCTCCTCCCCGGCCACCCCGCCTGGGGCGCCACTCCCCGGCCCCCTCCCACGACGGCCCGCCCAGTGCCCGCTCCCTGGGCCCGACTCCGCAGGGCGCTTCGGCCTAAACGGCTGATTTCGGCTTCCCCTCGGCCGGAGAACGAGCCCGCGGTGCTGCAGGGAGGGCCCGACGTGTCGCGGCTCACAGGCAGGGCGCGGAACCGAACCCGGGCCCTGCAGACTCGCAGGCCCGGCGTCCCTCGCGTCCAGCCCGGGATGCGCGCGGCGTGGAGGCGCGAGGGGCGGCGCTGCCCGGGCCGCCCCCCCCCAGCCGCCCCCCCCCCCAGCCGCTCCCGAGCCGCCGCTGCCGCCCCAGAACGTCCCGCCCACGCGGCCGGCGGCGCTACCGAGGCTCCCTCGGGCCGAGAGCAGTGGCCGGGTGGGCACGCCCCGGGGGGGCCCTCCGCGACCCCGCGGCCATCCCACCGGCGGCCCAGGCTTCAAGGGCCGACAGCCCAGGGAAGGAAGAGGAGGGTAGAAGTCACCCTGAAACGAGGCTGGCCGTCCCGGGGAGCAAGGTCACGTTCCCCAGGGAGGCCCCGGTGCAAGGGGGCGCCCAGGTGCCCCGCACCCCGGGGCAGGGACCGGGGCAGGGACCCGGCCTCCTGGAGGCCGTCGGCGCCCCAGCACCGTGCGGGCCCCGCGGGGCCGAGGTTCGCAGGGAGCCCGGGGTCCGTCCCCCTCTCGCCACGAGATGTCGCTGCTGCTCACAGGTAGAGGGCCCCGGGCCGGCTCGACTCCGGATCCCGCTTCCTGGGCCGGGGCGGTTGGAGGAGCGCGGCCTCTGGTCGCCCTGCGGGCGCTGCTGCCCCTGAGCTGCTGCTCAGCTGTCACCCACCTGCGGTTCCCACCCTGCTACCTAACTCGGGCAGGACCTGCATTCTCTGAGCTTCCAGAGCTTCTGTTTTCCCCCTTGCAAACTGGGGATAACAGTCCCCACCGGGCAGGGTTGTTAGGAGGCTAAAATGAGACGGTGTCTGGCAATGTGTTTGCAGAGGCAGAGCAGGATGTGTCACGGCTGCTGCTGTTTTAGTCCCTTCGCCGTTGGCTGCAGACCGTTGAGATGCAGCTGGTTCGGGGTTCCATCGTCTCTTTTTCTTCTCTCGACACCCGATTTCTCTCCCCGCCCAGAATCACCATTCAGAGACCCAGGGAGAGCCATGCTAATGCAGCATACAGCCCGATAACAAGAGTCCAGTTTTCATGCAGCACTCCCGGTGTTCTGGACCTTGATTTCTGTATTATATCGAATCCTCACACAACCCTCTGAAGTAGGTGCTATGAGGGACAATGATAAGCACACTAAGGCACAGAGGGATTAAGTCATTTTCCCAAAAACTTAGAGAGGGAGACAAACCATGAGAGGCTGCTAACTCTGGGAAACAAACAAAAGGGTTGCAGAAGGGGAGGGGAGTGGGGGGATGGGGCGACTGGGTGAAGAGCATTAAGGAGGGCACACACACAAAAAAGGAGGGTACCGGATGAGAGGAGCACTGGTGTTATACTATATTTTGGCAAATTGAATTTAAATAAAATTTTTAAAAAATAAAATCATGGGGATCCCTGGGTGGCTCAGCAGTTTAGAGACTGCCTTTGGCCTAGGGAGTGGTCCTGGGGTCGTGGGGTCCCGGGATCGAGTCCCATATCAGGCCCCCTGCATGGAGCCTGCTTCTCCCTCTGCCCATGTCTCTGTCTCTCTGTGTGTGTCTCTCATGAATAAATAAGTAAAATCTTTTAAAAAATCATTTAGCCAAAATCATGTAGCTAGCAAGTGGTAGGGGCTGGATTTGAACTCAGGCAGCCCAACATTGACTCAGCATTGCCTATCAGATCTGTAGGCTTTAGCAGTCTTCGACGGTTTCCTTGTTTGCAATATAAGAAGTTCCAGGGGGATCCCTGGGTGGCTCAGTGGTTTAGTGCTGCCTTCGGCCCAGGGTGTGATCCTGGAGTCCCTGGATCAAGTCCCACGTCGGGCTCCCTGCATGGAGCCTGCTCCTCCCTCTGCCTGTGTCTCTGCCTTTCTCTCTCTGTGTCTCTCATGAATAAATAAATAAAATTTTTTAAAAATTAAAAAAAAAAAGAAGTTCCAGGTCCATCTTACTCATCTCCTGCCCAAGTCTGGAATCAGCATCTTCTCCAAGAAACCCTCATAGTTTCAGGGATAAATGGCATTTCAAGGCCACAGTCCGGGCCTTAGTATCCTTTTTTTTCTTTTTTTTTTCTACTTAATTTGATCAAGTATTACTTGTATTTCAAAAAAAATGTAAGCAAATTTAGTAACCGATGTACTGAATGCTTACTATGCATCAGGCAGTTTCTGGAAGAAAGGTGGATTATAAAGAAGCATAGTTTATTACTACCAAATTTCAGGACCCTACAAGAAGTGGAGGAAGCTCATTCTAGAGCATTTGGGCAATGAGACCTCAGTAAATCCCTGGGGGCCGAGTGGTACCGCATGTGATGGGTAGGATAACCTGGTCTCCCAGCTGGAGCCCGAAGCTCGAATGTCTCAGTGTGTATTTGGCTGGTAAGGGAGACATGTCTGAGTTCAGGATGATGCCAGGTAATGAGGGCAGGTGACTCCTGTTGCCACGTTTACCAGCCTAGGTGGCCCTGGGGACTTAGGGCAGGCAGGAAGAGCACAGTTGAGCTTTCTGAGCAACCTCTCCAAGGAGCCCCTCAGGTGTGGCGCCTGACTTCTGCATAAACAGGTAGATGTCTCGGGGACCAACAGAGAATTCTGAGCAGTGTCATTGGCCCTGCTCTACTCCCACCCATCAGACAAGGTTGCTGGGGGTGGTTGAGTTTGCCCCAGTGAACAAGGATTGAGGAAGAGGTATAGAAAAGGAGCCCTGGGGGCTGCCCACTGGGCAGTTTTGTGCACAACAGAGGTCCGGGTGCATGGGAGTGAGAGGTGTGTGCCTAGGGTTGGCTCTACTTCTCAAAGGCCATAAGAAATAGGCTCCTTTCCTGTTCCATCAGCCCAGGGGGCCCCCGACCCTGTGCAGCCAACCCCAGAACCACAAGTGACAGCTCTGGCCCCTGGGATGATGCAAAGGGCCTGGCCTTTAGGGTCTGCCCGTTTGAGCTCTGAAGCTTCCAGCAGTTGCTCCCTGAGTGTCGGGTATCTCATTGCAAAGGGAGACACTCAGAACACCATCGTGGGGCACCTGTGGGAATTTCACGGGGGGATATGTCAGTGGCCTTGCAGAGGCTGCCTATGATAGACTCGGCCCTTTCTCTGGTCACGGCATTAGAGAAACCGAGAACCTGTGTGACAGGCGTGGGTGTCTGCACAGGGCCTGGAAAGCCAAAGACCTCTGGGAGCCAGGCCAATCCCCTGCAGGTGTGAAGCAGCCACCACGAGAAGATAAGGAGGGAGCAAAGCCGAGGGCAAGCGCCCAGCAGCAGCCGAGCTGTGACTGCCAGTCTTGCCTCATGTTGCCTTTACACTTGGGCTTGCACAAGCAAACAAGGGCAGACGTGATGGTCTCCCCAAGTTTCAAGAGAGCCCTGAGGGTGAGTCTGAGCCCCGTCTGCCCTGAGTCTCACAGAGTACCCAGCTTGGGCCCTGGAAACAGCAACTGTCAAGTCAGGGAGCAAAATCTGTCTCCGGAGACACTGCCAGGAGCCTTGGGGTTTGGTCTAGGAGTTCTGAGAGAGGTGATGATTCCTGCCAGGACAAGATGAGACCCTGGCTGGACCCCTCTCCACAGCCAGAAGCCTGCCCCTGGGGACAGGTCTGTGTCTGCTCCGGAGACACCTCGTTGTCTGAGGGCTCCAGTAGAGTCTGCAATAGGGAGGAATGAGAGAGCCAGTTCACCGCCTTGCTATCTCTCGCAGAGGTAAGGTCTGCAATATTAGGGTGTCTTTTGTTAGAGCTAAGGAGACTGGGGCCATGGGCTCTGCCCCGAATGTGCCAGTGAGGTAACACAGAGACACTGACTCTGCGGGGTCTCCAAACCTGGGACCAGCTGCTGGCCATTGAGGGGGCTATTCTGAG